GGATTTATTCAGATAAGGGGAATGTAACTTTGATATTCATGTATTGTGATATGTGATATATCAAGGATTTATCAGATAAGGATATGTAACTTTGATATCTATGTATGGTGATATGCGATATAACAAGGATTTATCAGATAAGGATATGTAACTTTGATATCTATGTATGGTGATATGTGATATAACAAGGATTTATCAGATAAGGATATGTAACTTTGATATCTATGTATGGTGATATGTGATATGTCAAGGAGTTATAAGATAAGGATATGCAACTTTGATATTTATGTATGGTCATATGTGATATATCAAGGATTTATAAGATAAGGATATGCAACTTTGATATCAATTCATGGTGATAAACAATGAAAATGTCTTCCTATTCAAGTTCAATGCACACTTTAATCAAACTCATTTCTAATGAATATCGTAGTGGAAGCTGCATTCAAATAAGCAAGGATACTACTAGTAAAACAGTATGTGACTAACACTAACTATTTTTTTCAGACTCACTTAGCATTAAGTAGTTTTAAAAATTTATGTTCATGAATATCATGAATTCATGTGGCCACAAAGTATGCTTTTCACCACATATCACTCACAAGTAGTATACTTTTATCTTGTACATCTTTCCCAGTATATAATCTATTCTTACCAGCAATGGGTATTCCTCAACTGATGCCAACTTTATACTTCTTACTCTGCATGTTCTCAATATTGATGCAATACCTTCCATGTTACAACACAGTGTATGACATTGATGACTGCGTACTAATAACTCAACCTCCATGGCAAGCACTGAAAATAAATTTACTATGTGTAATGGAAAGTAGGAAAACATGCAATATCTACTGTTTATATATGGGAATATAAAGCAATGTTACTTTTGATATTTTCATCAGTGTGTACTTTAATCTAGTTGTGCTAATTCGTAGCTGTTTCATTATCAAGTACACATTTCATAAAAAAAAATAAGATTTACTGTAAAATACGAAGAAAATCAGGAACCACAATGTTTTTTTGTGTGTCTCACATCACAATTTTATCCTGAAAAGTGAAGACCAACCATTTTGACTCTGGATTCCTAGAAAATCAATAATTGTTTGCGAGCACACTGATGTACATACTATAACTATTACAACAGTTTGGTTAATTCATAGCACAGGCTAGCAATCTACAAATACACCAAAATATAAATAGCTTGTTTAGTAATTTGAAAATATATTTCTTATTTTGAATATTAACCTCCAAGTGCAGGTCAATTAATTTCTGACATGTCCAGGAGAGTTCTCATGAAATACATAAAAGCCACCACATAAATTATACATCCCAATGTGATCCACCCATATCTACATGTACAGCTCTAGAATGAGGAGAGTTCCAGTCGTCTTGCAACGCTGCAACGTTTTTTTTTATATGCACTAATAACGGAAATAGCAGACAGGACCAACAGGTTTACATACATACTACAAGTGTACCCCATTCTTCTAACTAGACTTTCACTGCTGAGTGTGAGAATCCAACCACAACAGTCAAATACTAACACACATCAGGTTAATAAATTACAAATGTCACATCAAAGACAATATAGGTATGCAAGTGAAATGGTTTCTCATTTTTTGACAGCAATATGAGGTTTGAACATATTCTACTGAACAGCAAATACTGTAAGCCACTTTAGTTTCGCATGACAATTTTTATGAAAATTTCAGTGAAAATTTTTTATCTTACAAAGTGTCAGCGACTTTCGCGAAATTTTGACAACAATAAATTATCAAATTGAATAAATTCTTAGCAGCAAAAATTAAACAGTTTAGTTTGATTGTGTAATATTTATGATTGTTTAGAAAAGTAATATATCAGCTGAATATGTAATGTTACCTTTATTTGGATCTTCAGGAAATGAACTTGCCAAGTATGCAGCAGTGTCAGCAAGTCGGTATCCAAGAACTGCCGGGTTATCACACAGTGATAGCAAATTAGCAAAGTCTTCCTTTTTATCCATCGGACTGAATATTAAATCTCTACTCTGGCATGGCATATCTGTATCAGGAAAGTAAACGCAGTTTTGCAAGGTGAAATTCTCAAAATGACTACCAAATTGCCAAACAAGTGGATTTGTCAGTGTAATGCACCATGGGTGATTTTAATACCAAAATTTGAATGAAAATTGGCCCAGGCATGCCTGAGAAACAGTTTGTCCTTTTTGGGGCTTTTGGAAGACAACAATGGTGGTCAGTCAAGTCAGTCAAACGTCAAAGAATCCCCCAAAAAATTATACATGCATGTCTTGCATTTGTACTAAGTTTGAACAAAATTGATCAAGGAATGTCAGAGATATGATGTTAAATTGACAGATACCCTCCGGTAGATATGACCAAAAAAACACCAATTTGAAAGTAAACTTTTTACTTCACCCAATGGGGAGTATTTAGCCAATAGTGCATAATAATATCACAAATAAAATAACTCTTGCAATTGGAACTTCAGACAACACCAACACATTAGAGGCCATAATGGAGGCTGCTCTCAGAAACAAATTGTTTGTGTTGAAGTTGAGGTGACATACAAAAATATTAATTTTTTATCTTCAGATACACAAGAAAATCACACCTCAACCAAATTACTCCCTGGTGCCTCAACTTACACCAATCTCCCATACATAATCTGAACTCTTGAACATCTTTTGAGAGCACTTTGAAAACGCCATATTTAAATATTATATAACGTATATCATCTAGAGAAGTTTCTCTAATAGAAACGTACATACATCTGTCTGATGGATCATAAAAATAGGACTTATTCTGACCATAGACACACCATCTGCATAAGCACACCGTTACTACCGGTATTACTGATAATAGAGCAAACAAGGTAAGACATTGTCTTTTGGTAATATATTTTCCTTGTTTTATATGAAAGTAGACGTATACAACATTCATACAAGTCACACCCTCTCAAGAACATACTCTTTATTGACATACGACTGCAAATCAAAATCATATTGATGCCGTCATTTATTTATGCCACAGAAGAGGGTCACCACTAGTGGGTGCAACTTATAAGAAAGGTGTATTTATTATAATCTCTACTTGAATGACACTTACCTCCATCCTGGTGTCCTGTAAATACTGACAAAGAATGTGTGATGGCGTCTGACAGAAACCCAGCAAGCTGAAGGAATGAAGAAGACAAATCAATACATAGAGTTCCAAACACACAGACATGGGTCATTGCGTTTAACAAAACCTCAAGAACTACATATACCTGTTCATTTTGGGCAGGATAAACAGTCACCAATTATAATAAATGTGATTTTACATTTTTCATGAAATTCTTTTCTATATTTAATTGAATTTGTCTTGTGTGGATTAATGGAGGGGGGGGGGCTATCATATGTATCTCATAAGAAGTATAATTCAGCAATGCCGTGATGAGGTTACAATTCTTTTACTCTGACATGTTATTACATTTCTGAAACTCTCACTTGCAAAACACAGCAGCTTATTTTATTTTTAACTTTTATTTAGTTTTGCTATTATTTTTGTTTCAAACATTCTTCTATTACTTTTGTGCGTAAAATGAACCGTGTAATAATAATATTATTATTATTTATTATAAGCAATTCTCAGATGCTCATTCAGCAAGATAGTAATACGAGGTATAAGCACGAGTTCAATAGAACAAAATACACACACACAGTCAAATAAATATGTATTTCTAGATTTTCATCAATATCAGATTTGATATTTATTATGCAGTATAATTTTAATTTTATATCTCTCTATTTACTAAAAAATATAACTTTGTTACCTCTTGATCTGTAGCTCCACTACTAGCTATATAGGTCTTAGCAAGTTGAAATCTATGCATGTGATCTGATGTTAACACATCTTTCAGGACATCAAAACAATTCTGATTAACGATATCAACGTAACTTCTATTCAGAATCTGAGAAAAATGAAAAAATAATGAGCTGCATGTATCTGTACTGTGCATCTCCCCCCTCCTCAACTGACACCAACAAATGAATTATAAAGACCCAATAGTAAGTAGTCAAGCAGCCCAGTATTATGAAACACAGCAAAACAGTTATAACCTTGCCTTTACTCAATACTTTGAAGTGCATTTTCAATAAAAGTGATTTTAAACCAAAAATTGCATTTATTGTATACTCCATGTAGATCATTGAAATCTGACATATTTTGTCAATAGAAACACCTCCGTCATTTACATAAGCTACCAAAAAAGGGTGGTGTATGTATAATTACCTGTCCAATACTAAAACAGTTAATGATTCGGTAACAGCACTTCTTTCCCAATTTGCAGTTTTCAGATAGCGTTTCCATGGTATTTACCAAGTCTTCTGCATCACGACTGAGATATTCAGTTTGTGCACTGCTTAAACTTGCAACTAAACATAAATAGAAACATTCAATACTGTTAGTGTTTACATTTTAACAAACCACATTTCAACTGATCTGTGTATTTTTTGTCAGACCTGAAAATAATTGTCTTGCACTATATTGACACTACTTACTGTACAATATTAACCATTTGAATGCCATAATTTTTTTTATAATTTCATTTTTCAAGAATTTTTTTTTTATGGCCTATGGTCTTGGATCAAAACCTTTGAGAAAAAAAAAGTATTTTTGAAATTTACTAATTACCAATTATATATATATATTTTTGGGAGGGGGCATTTTTAACAAATTTCACACTTTTTATTTGATGCTGACATTTACTTACAACTTGCTGAACGACTCATTGTGCCTGCCCAGGGTGATGATTTTCTTCTGCCTTTGCCTTTGATCAACAACTCATTCATGGTTGTATCAAGTTCATCAGTGTTTAGTCTTCCCTGAGCTAACTGCAAACACGTCATCACCACAGCCAAGTTTTCATTGTAGTGTTTAAACTGCTTTGCTAGGCTCAGTGCCTGGCTGATGCAATGTGCTTCTAACTGTGCTCCAATCAATCTGTCCAGAGCTTGTTTCTCCTTACAAATTAAATTATATTATGTCAAAAGTCATACAAGAAATAGTGATCAGTGTAGACATAGTTTTCATTAAAATTTTCAAAGAAGGAGATTAATATGTAGATGAAGTGTTTTGGGGCACATAGAAGCAATATATTATACACTGTTTTCTGTGCTACTAGAAAGAAGAGACATGCGAAGAACTGATCGAGTCCCATTGCTGACTTCTAGTGAATACTACTGATGATACTGAACTATTTACATTTACCAAAAAATATATACTGTAGAATACTTTATTTTCACTTGGAATTTATTTTCGCTATTTTCGCTGAAGGGATGATTCCGTGAAAATAAAATCCAGCGAATATACATTTTTTCCTATATTTCACATTAAGCTCATCAAAAATCAGTGAAAATAAATTCCGTACAAAATGCCCAAAAAGCCTTTTCAGCGAAAATTAATTCCAGCGAAAATAAAGTATTCCACAGTACACAATATATGCAACTACTACTCCCTAAAGCTACAAATAACTATCGATCTAACCTTGAGTGCTGTCAATATTGGTACAGTTTCCTTTGAAATGGTATAAATTTCCTCCAAAAGAAGCTCTTTGTTACCAAGGTGACCGAATTCTGGTTTTATCTTCTTGTTCAATGGGAGTTTAAACATTTCTTTGGAATTAGTCGTCATCACCTCATCTTCAGGTGATGGCGTCTGTTTGATGAAACGCATACACAAATTAAATTAATTATCACATTCATCTAACAGATATGATACTCTCATCACAACAAACCTGTTTCTTTCATCTTTATAAATAATTGTAAATGTCACAATTAAAACTAAAACCAGAGGTTTGTGTTAGATTGGATAACATTGGAACATTACCATATGATGTCATTGCACATTGCACTCAATAATTCATTAGCTTGTTGGATTCCATTGTTTTAAAATTTATAAAATATTCACAAAGATGTAGGAAACAGGTTTGTTTTGTCGAGAGTAAAAGAGAGTGAATATGCCATCATTCAAATTTAATGCCTAAAATAACAAAAACGAGTGTATTGTTCAGATTGTGAAAGCAATATAGCCCATTCATCTGAAACAGATTTTAAACAATTACTGAAGACTAAAGACAAGCTGATGGTCAAAAAACTTGGTCTGAATTTACTCACTTCAGCATTATATACTTCAATCTGAATTCTACACAGCCATATTTGCTGTTCCAATTTTTGCAACTCCTCCCTTTGTACATGCATTAGATCTTTAGCAAGCCAGTGATGTGCTAAACCAAGCAACAACTCCTTTTCTTTTACACACATGCTTGAGGATTCAGCATGATCCTGCATACAAAATAAAAAAAATTATTTATTTTCTCAGTACATCTTGATGAACATAGTGAGCCCAGTCATCTCTGAGAACAACTTGATCACTGATCACAAAAGCATAGGGTACAATAATTCTCTGAGCAACCTTTGAACAAGATTGGCTATTGATTGATTGGCTATTGATTGATTGGCTATAGAATCAGTCACCTCTGACAAATGATTGCCGACAATGATTTTCATTTCAAAAACGATTACCAGATCACCAAAACATGGTCATTTCAAAAATGGTCGGAAAGCATCATGGTCATGACATAATGTTATCATTTTTATAAGTGTACTGATTTATCACGTTCTGATTTATCACGTTCTGATTTATCAACCTTTGTTTTATTTGACCTGATGTTGTGTACATATTGGCCAGAGACGTATAGTGCTAAAATAAATTTATTATTATTATTAGAGTGGCCCCTCGCTAAGTCGCGATTCGGCTAAGTCGCGGGTACTTGGATGGCTTCCAAAATTTCTATTGTGTTTTGACAGCAGTTTTGAAGTACAAAGACTGATGTTTCTTGGCATAGTGTTTTTAACTAACCATTAAAGAGACAACTTAACATCTACTGTCCGTCAATTGCTGAGATGCAATGGGTGACGGCGGCCTTACTCAATGTGTCAACTGGGGTGTCGAGTAGTGACCGTACGTACTTCTCGGCCGGTCCCATTTTGGTATACCTCTAAAAAAACTCGCT